CATTATTTGGCGTTCATCTTTCTAACTTCAACCCTATTGTTTCAAAAACATTGACATGCAAAACATTTAACGCTGGTTAACCAGCTTCCTGTACAGAGTGTTTCTCTGCTGCTGGCATCACATGCTGCGGGCAGGAAAGTGTTCACACCGAACACCTGCGTGTCATGTGTTTGAGCTTTCCTGTTGACAGTCCTCGCCTTTCGCTTGTTTACCTTCTTTTAAGGAAGGTGAAGAACACAAGAGCAGTTAGTTCAAGAAACAAAAGAAAGTATGATGAAAGGTGAGGGAAGCAGATAAGTATTTAGTCATGTACAGTGGGGAGAACAAGTATTTGATACACTGCTGATTTTGCAGGTTTTCCTACTTACAAAGCTTGTAGAGGTCTGTAATTTTTATCATAGGTACACTTCAACTGTGAGAGACAAAAAACAAAAATCCAGAAAATCACATTGTATGATTTTTAAATAATTAATTAGCATTTTATTGCATGACATAAGTATTTGATCACCTACCAACCAGTAAGAATTCCGGCTCTCACAGACCTGTTAGTTCTTCTTCAAGAAGCCCTCCTGTTCTCCACTCATTACCTGTATAAAAGCCACCTGTCCACACACTCAATCAAACAGACTCCAACCTCTCCACAATGGCCAAGACCAGATAGCTGTGTAAGGACATCAGGGATAAAATTGAAGATCTGCACGAGCCTGGGATGGGCTATAGGACAATAGGCAAGCACCCTGGTGAGAAGGCAACAACTTTTGGCCCAATTATTAGAAAATGGAAGAGGTTCAAGATGACGGTCAATCTCCCTCGGTCTGGGGCTCCATGCAAGATCTCACCTCGTGGGGCATCAATGATCATGAGGAAGGTGAGGGATCAGCCCAGAACTACACGGCAGGACCTGGTCAATGACCTTAAGAGAGCTGGGACCACAGTCTCAAAGAAAACCATTAGTAACACACAACGCCGTCATGGATTAAAATCCTGCAGCGCACCCAAGGTCCCCCTGCTCAAGCTTTTCTGCAAAGGGGACAGGACGACTGCACAGTATTGAGGGGAGGATGGATGGGGCCATGTATCGCGAGATCTTGGCCAACAACCTTCTTCCCTCAGTAAGAGCATTGAAGATGGGTCGTGGCTGGGTCTTCTTGCATGACAACGACCCGAAACACACAGCCAGGGCTACTAAAGAGTGGCTCCGTAAGAAGCATCTCAAGGTCCTGGAGTGGCCTAGCCAGTCTCCAGTCCTGAACCCAATAGAAAATCTTTGGAGGGAGCTGAAAGTCCGTATTGCCCAGTGACAGCCCCGAAACCTGGATCTGGAGAAGGTCTGTATGGAGGAGGTCTCACAGCTGAAGTGTACCTATGATAAAAATTACAGACCTCTACATGCTTTGTAAGTAGGAAAACCTGCAAAATCAGCAGTGTATCATACTTGTTCTCCCCACTGTATATGTGTTGTGTAAAATGATTATGGAGTGATTATCAGTGACTCTTCTCCTGCTATGTATTACCTTAGCTGTGAGTATGTTATTGTTGTTCTTGAGGCCAGCGAGAGTGGCTGCATAATCAACCACTTTTCCCACGCTCCATTTGGAACAGAAGAACATGGGTTGGCTCGAGTCTTTGGACTCTTTAGGAAGAAACACCTGAAAATATGTTCTTTCTGCCTGGAAAGCCAAAAAAGAAGAGAAAGCCATCAGCTGGACAAAAGAACAGTCACAGAATAATACAGTGGTACAATGTAGATCATATGCAAGATGCAATACTATAGATGAAAAGGTATGAAAATTATCAGTATTATGATGGTATTGTTAAAATGACTACTGCCTTTTTTTTAAATGAACAAAAAAATGTCGTGACATAACTGCGTAACGCGTTATGTGCAGGGGGCGAATAGAGTCTGCAGGTGCGCTACACATACAGCAGCAGAACAACATGTAGTGTTTTAACAAGAGTAGCTAACACTGACAGCTTCAGTTTACATGCTGTTAGCAAATCAGACAGACAAACCAAAGCTAAAAGTTAACTCACCCTGCATTTGCAATAAGTAAACTTTTCCAGACTAGACTTCAGACAGGCTGAAAAATCACAGCAGTACAGTCTTCCGCCATGTTGTCATGGACCCAAACAAACCCACATTCTGCGCATGCGCGCCTGTATCTGGGAGACTTATGGTAACTTTTGTTGATGCTGGACAGTATGTACCGTGAGTTTATCAAAGCGCTGTAATCGAACATGCTTATCATGATAATTACAGTTTGTAAGGTAATACTAACCATCGGGAATTTTATCACGGTGTATCATCAAACTGGTAACCATTTCATCCATATGTAATATTATTCATAAATAAAGAGAGACAGGATTTTACCTGTGGAAGTCCCTTGTCCCCTGCAGCATGCAGCTTCAGTTTCATCAATGCTACCTTAGCTGCAGTTGCACTGTTCTTTGCTCCTCTCCGTCCTTTAGTTTTAGATCCATCCTTTGACTCTGAGTAGTCACAAGAGAGTAATATAAACACAATCCACATGTTAGTAGGTTGAGGAATACAAACACATTTACAGCATTTTGTTCATCCCATCCCATGTGGACAACTAGCGGTGATTGTGCTACACTTTAACTAACCAACAATCTTTTGGACCAGCGCTTTTGTGGCTGCCATTCGAGGCTTTTGGATCTCCAACTTCTCACACTTGTGATCATTTTGATGACGGTGGCTATAAGGCAAGAACAGAAATTTGAACGAGACCTTGTGTATGTAGTTTATGAGTGCTCTGTACAGGTCAACACAAGTCATGCTGTTTTATCAAAGGGTTAATGAAAGAGAGAAAATACTGTAAACCTACGCCAAACAGAAATGTTTTTCACACTGCGGACATATTACTGGCAACAATTCTTTGCCCTTGCAGTCCTGAAGTGAGCATGGATAACTTGTACCGCCACCAGGGGTCTGGGATTCAGTTTGCACTGGCTCCTGTAAAACATCAGAGGAAACCAGCCGGTATCTAAGTAACAGGACAGAGGAAAATGTCACTGTGGTAATTTTATCAAAGGTTGACATTATATAATCAACACCACAGCACACCTCTGAACATGAATGGGCCTCTCTGCTTCTGTGCTCAAGGCTGTAAGAGATGAAATCAACACATATCTTTAATCAATAACAAAACATACTGTATGTGGAAAAAAGTATCAAAGTACATTTGTGACGTAGTTTATATGACTATTTCTATTGTGCAACTTCATACTTTTACATCTCTCTACTGCTTCTATCTGACACCTGTACTTACTAGAGTCTAACTGAAACTGGACTTTTGATGTTATAGATACTTATAACGATATATCCTCAAATATTAAAGTAGTTATTAAGATAACATGAACAAACAGTTTTGATTAGGATGGCTTACATTTGGTTGTTAAAAGGTTTGTGACCAAGATATGTTTAAAAAAACTGGAGGACAAGCAAACACCGTAAAACATTCAATAGCCCGGGCCTTTAATTCCTTTTGCACAAAAATCTAGTTCAGCAAAGACAGGAAACATGTTACAATCAAATTGATTATTTACGATTATTATTATTGATCTTGTTTACGATACAATGGTAGATCTGAATTATTTTCGCAAAAATTATCTTCACGATTGAAATGTGGAGAATCTAACAGATCTTACGATGTATAGCACGTCCATATCTAACATTTATATTTGTATGTGTGATTTAAGCAGCTTAGAACTTGCTCAAGCAGGTGACCCGGTGGGCTTTAAGAGGTTTTATACATCCAAAGGACTCCTATAAAAACCAGACTAGATGTCTAATTGAGACCTGCAATTATTTGTCAAAACGTGTAGCCACACCAGGCCATTAATCTAGCATCTAAACAGGACAAGGGAAGTTCATCTCTCTCTCTCTCTACATACACACATATATATTTATTTATATAAACTGATAATAAAACTGATATAAATGGATGATATCAGCAGGTAGTTGTTACTAGTAATTCCTTTGCAGATTATAATTTTCTTCTAGAAAGTAATATGTTGTCTTTCTTTAAGTTGAGTAGTTATACAGTGTGATAGAATTACTTTATTATATTTCATCTATGTAAATGGATTTGCAACCGGAGATGACGAATTCTTACCAGAAAACACCGCTGCACAAATCACAAACAAATGGAAGGAAATCTAGAAGAATGAGGAAAACAAATTCAATTAGTCTCAACAACTAAAACACAGACACCTCAGTGTTTTCAAACTCTGTCAGAATCTGTATATCAGGTACTAGATATTTGGGTTGATGCCCGAGATGTAACTTAATGATATAAGTAACTTAGATACCAAAGTTTCTGCATTGCATTTCTCATTTGAATCTGGGAAGACACTTTTACTGAGACACCTGAGACCCAAACGCAGTTTCTCCACTATAAACAGTGTCTAATACGAAGCTTATATATGTTTACAAAATGTAACACTACCCACATTAAAACCATTTATTTGGCGGTTAGCTGTTTAGCTAAAGTAGCGAGCTAACAGGTTCAGCCAAACAATGCTAACACCAGCTAGCTGACAGGCTAACTACGCTAAAGAGAGGCTCTGTGTGTTTTATATTAACAGAAACGGCAGAATAATGCCAAACGTCAACATATGTGTTTACTGCAGCTCGGCTGGGGATTAAACGGACCTGTCTGATTGCAGGAGTCGATCTGACAATGCTTGCCAATGTCTAATTCAGCCATATTATATTTAGCCGTGAGTCTGCGGGTGTCAACACGAACTTTGACCCCTGACGTCACGTCACGTGACTGAGATTGTGATTTAAATGACTTACTTTACTTTTCAAAGTGAATTAATGCAAGTAGTTTGCTATATGTGTGTTATTTGCTCGACATTCACAAGATTCACACAAGATTTCTCATCAAACTTCAACCAACAGAAAAGAGCTCTCTGGAGAGGGCGTCAAGTGTCAGGTGTCACTACGTCACGCAGGTGAGGGTGAAAGGTGTGGTGAAAGGTGCATTCACTGGCTCGTTTGAATTGGAAGCACAAAGCCGTCGAGCTGGAATATCTGCTTGCATCACACCCGCCTGTAGAAACACTGGACGCTGGAAGGACGACGACTATCAGCCTGGGAGAGTCCGTGTATTTACCTATCTGCGCAGTTTACACACACAAAGCTGCTAAAAATGAGCAAAATCTCGCAACTTTTCAAGGGGAGCGCCAGCTCGAATTCATCGAGCTCTTCGAGGTCCAGACACCACCGGTCACGGGGGGGACCTTCAGCCCAGGAGGCCATCCACAAACTCCGGGAAACAGAGGAAATGCTGACGAAGAAACAAGCCTACCTGGAGAACAGGATAGAGCAGGAGCTTATGATAGCCAAGAAGAATGGCACAAAAAACAAGCGGGGTATGTCTTTAGTCTGCAAACATCTGTGCACCTGTTTATTATGTGCTCCATGGTTTCAGATTAAGTTTTGTAAACAAGGGACACATCACAGTGAACAAGTATTAAAGGAGGCTGAAGATGTTTTAAAAAGGCCGAGGAAGTAGTATAGTGTACAGCTATAGGCTTGCAATGATTGTTTTAAAGGAGAGACGATGTTATCCAATTTTGATTGTAGCAGCAACATAAAGTCAGTTGACAAAAGGAATCGTTGTTAACTTTCTCAGCCTGTGTAAAGAACCTACAGTGTTCAGTGTGTTTTTGTTGTAGGACGGGACTGAGTTACTACAGTTTTCTTGTGTGAAACCTTGAGGTGCTGCATTGCTTGTTGAACCACCTCAGACTAAAAATAAACATCGCCATGCAAAAGGGAGGCACCTTGTGTCCTTTTGTTTGCGAAGGGCCAGCACTTCTTGGCCAAATAGCGACACCAGAGGAAACGTGTGAAATGAAGGAAGGGAAGAGTCACTCACATCTACAATTTTTCTGTAGCCGCCCTGCAGGCCTTGAAGAGGAAGAAGCGCTTGGAGCAGCAGCTCACGCAGATCGATGGCACGCTCTCCACCATCGAGTTTCAGAGGGAAGCTTTGGAGAATTCACACACCAACACGGAGGTCCTGAAGAACATGGGCTTTGCCGCCAAGGCCATGAAGAAGGTCCACGAGAACATGTAAGGAGCTGTTGTGTGAGCAAGAAAAGATGACTGCAATCTTACAACTATCGATATCTTTCCCCTAAAAGTTCTGACAGGATTGTGTATTTGTACGTTGAGTGATTTGACTTTAGCTAGACAACAGTTTCTTTACAAGACATTTTGTAGTACAGTTTTCAATGGGGAAAACTGCAAAGGAGTTTCACAATCAAAGTGTTCAGGAATATTTATTTTTATTCATAAAGCTATAAGGAAAATAATATAATCAGGACAAACTTGAGGTTTTTTTGTCTTAGAGCGTACACCTTGGGGTTTTTTGACTGGACACACATCATTTAAAAAACCTAAGATCCGATAAGATGTTCCTTTATTGATCCCCTGTGGGGGAAAATCAATTTGGTACAGCAGTATGGGGTAATGTAGTGCAAAGAAAACAAAAATACAATAAATAAAGACCAGTAATCATCAAATACAATAAAAGTAGAATCAGGGATCCTCAGGATCAAATACATGGCATATATAAACATTATGTCCAATCAAAAAAAAAAAAGGATATCAGTGGAGTATTTAAACAAAATGATGGGGAAGGGGAACATTATTAATAATCATCAGCTGCAGTCCTAACCTTGATAAATGTTCTTCTCTAATGTTATAATTTGATATAATTTATTGTTTTATAGCATCCAAGAGTTAGAAAAATGCAATTTAGGGTTGTTTTTTGTAGAAAGTTTAAACTTGAGATAACAGTGATGTTTAATATATAAACTATTTTATCTCCTTACCTTCATTTTCAGGGACGTTGATAAGATAGATGATCTGATGCAGGACATCACAGAGCAACAGGACGTGGCCCAAGAGATTAGCGAAGCGATCTCCAGACCTTTCGGCGAGACATTTGATGAGGTTGCTACCTGTCCTGGCATTCACACTCGCTCACAGTTTTTAACTGTACTTTCTGTGTGTCACCTGCTAATCTATTTTCAGCTCTACTGTGAAAACAAAGAGAGGCAAAAATGCACCTGATCCAGCTCTAAATCCCGTGTACTTTATATGCTTTCTTAGGATGAACTGCTGGCAGAGCTCGCAGAGCTGGAACAGGAGGAGCTTGAGAACAACATGAAGAGTATGGGCGGACTACCCAGCGTGCCCAGCGCCAAACTGCCTTCAGCACGGCCCCAGCAGCGCGCAAGTAAGTGCAACATTATAGAGATCTTTGGATTTAGGACTGTTGGACAAAACAAGCTATTTGAATGTGTCAGCTTGGGTTTGGGGGATTTGTGCATGACATGTTACAGACCTAATTAATAATTCATACTGAAAATAATCATAGTTAGTGTATTAACTCTTGATAAGACACTTGACTGCAATCTATCCTAATACTGAAATCTATAAATTTAATTACCATCAAATTACCAGTGAGTGCGCAAGTAGGTTCAACACTAATAGAGGGCAAATTACTACGGTTACTTTATGTATCTCAAAATCGATGAGACACTTTCACAATATGAATTTTAGAATTGAACTGCCATTGCATAGCAAAAAACATCAATGTGAAGACATCCTTACTGGCTTTTTTGAATAACTTATCATGGCCATGTAAAATTTTCAAACATTTTCAGTTTTTATATGATCTTTGGAGGTAATTTTTTAGTTGATAGTGACAGTGCGGAAGTGAAAGGAGGTGAGGGGAGAGAGAGAGCGAGACAGATGGAGATGCAGAGCGGAGATGTTGCCGTTTATGGTTGGCACCTGTGTCACCAGGGTGTCACTTTAAACATATTTGAAGATTAAAAAGGAATCCATTAATGGGGGAAATAATCATTATTGCTATCAGTAGTTCAATTAATCCTTAGCTATAGCCTTAACCCTGATACATGTTCCATAATAATTTGATAGCATTCATTGTTGACTGTTTCCTTCTTTTTACAGCAACCAAGAAAAGGGTTGAAGAAGATGACGACATGCGTATGTTGGCATCGTGGGCAACCTAACCACAGCAACTAAGACAGCATCTCCCTTAGAGAAATTAACATACACATCTCATGTTTTTTTTTGTTTTAGCTTTTTAAGTTAATTTTAAAGGTTTTTAGGGAAAATGCATTATTATTATTTTTTAAATAATCGTTTTTTAACATTTGTGTGATGGTAACTTTACAGGTTATATTTATTAAGAAATAACAAAATTTAAGTGAAGGAATCAACAAACTGCATTTTAGATTTTTCTCTTATTTTCTCTTTTTCAGTTTTCCTTTCTTTACTGTTATCATTCTTACTTACTCTGTGTACATAATGCACTACTTTCTTAGGGCTAATTAAGACATAAGGAAATTACTGATGTTTTTCATACAGAGCAGAATGCTAAACTGTATTTCATACAGCTGTAAATAAAGTCTGATTTTGAATTAATGTTGTAAATATATTGCTCTATCAATGTTCAACAATAAAACAGTCCCCTACATTGTCTAATAGTATTGTCATAACTTATGATATTGCTGGAGAATATCTACCTCAGAATAGACTGGCCCTTGGACTAATTCCACCCCTTGCAGCAGCAATAACCCTATAATTTATTTATAAATTATATTTTCAGTGGTACAATACAGACTTGACACCACACTGATTTTGTGCAATAATTCAACTGTGAAATACTCTGGCATTGTTTTACATTGTATGATGCATATATTTTACACACTTTCATTTTTAACGCGTGTTTAAAAGACATTTCAGTTTACTAATAATTATAATAATCCTATATATTTACATTCATGTCACTTTTCTTTAGTTATCGCGCATCCGCTTTTGTCATGCTTTTATTTTGAAAGATGAGGCTGGAACAAACGTCATTATATGTTGTCTTTTTCCCCCACCTTCCGCAAACTCTGCCTTTGATTGGCTAATACTCGTTGCCTCAATGTGCTGGTTGGTTGAACTTAGGGTTAGGTTCAGTGTTAGCCAATCAGAGACAGAGTAGGGGCGGGACTTGACGCAAAGCTGGTGGGAGATGTCGAAAGCTGTAGTTTCGAGTTGTGTCATCAGGTAGGAGGAAGTCCTTCTTGTCCGGCTCCTAGCCTCCCGAAGACGATTTATAGCTGAATAAAACCACTATTCGGAGTAAAACCAAGTATGGATGCGAGTAAACCACTTCAGGCAGCTGGTGAGCCAGTAACTTTAATATCTTTTTTTATAGCTGTAATGTTTAAAAGTTGTGAAACAAATATGGGATTTTCCGTGGCTGTTAAAGTAACGTTAGCGCGGAACATTGTTAACGTTACCCCCAAACCGGAATGTGACACGTTTCACACGTAATATGGTACAACAGACACTGTTAAGACATATTTCACCTACTTTTGTTTTATTCTTACACTATTGTACACTAAGTTAAGTCTCATAACTTGAGCAGTGTGTTGGCAGGCTAAGTTCTTAGAAATTACTTCATTAGGTCTTCCTGCTAACTTGATGGACAATCGTTTTTATTTGGAAAGGTTGGGTTACGTTATAATGAAATGCAGAGAACCAATATTAATAAACCAATTAGGTGTTCAGAAGAGTTTATATGGTAGCCGAAAAGGTGTAAACTGTAATATACATTAATGCTGAGGTAGGCAATTAATTCCCGAAGCATTCTTTGTTGAAAATATCTTTACATCCCGACATCAAACAATAAATGCTCTGACACAAAAATAACAACAATCCTGTATCTGTGGAAGATCTACCTGTCTACCTGTGCACTCACTGAGCAGGAAAATGTGTTTTAGGGGAGTGGCTTTGGACGGAGGGAGGGAGTGGGAATTTTTTTTTCGTTAGAATACTTTCAAAATCTCTCTTTGCACAATGTAGTGTGACATACATCCTTTCCTGTCAATTATTAGTCAAATAAACAATTTGTTGATCTACAGAAAATTCACGCTTACAATTTTTGACTATTAATAAATATTGTATGTACTTTCCTTTGCTAAAATAATAAAAAGGACAGGTTTCAACTTCTTAAATGTGAATATTCACTAGTTTTTGCAGCCGTCTCTGATAGTAAAGTGAGTATCTTTGGATTTAGGACTGTTGATTGGACAAAACAAGCTAATTTAACCTTGTGGTTTGGGAAATTTATGCATGACATGTTACAGACCTCATGATTAATTGATAATTGAAATAATCATAGTTAGTGTATTAACTCTTTATAACATAGTTTGACAGCGTGACTGAAATATATAAATTTACTTACCACAGCCGGAGATGCATCTGGATCAGAAGAGGAGGCCAAAAAGGCAGCAGCAGCTGCAGCCAAGGTGGCTAACCGCCTGCCTGAAGTTCGTCTGGTGATGCTGGGCTGGAGGTGGCCGGGGAAAAGCTTGACTGGAAACACCATCATAGGCCGAGAGGAGTTTCGCTTGGAGCGAGCAGCCGAGTTCTGTGTGAAGAGACAGGCGGAGGTGCTGGAGCGGCAGGTGACTGTCGTGGACACTCCAGGCTGGTTCTCTGCCCAGGATACACCACCCTCCTATAAAGACGAGATTGTGAGGGGAGCATCTCTTTGCCCTCCAGGTCCACATGCCTTCCTGCTTGTCATCCCCGTGGGCATGTTCACGGAGGTGGACCGTGCTCGCATTGAGGAGCACGTGAGCCTCTTCGGTGAGCGCGTGTGGAAGCATACGATTGTGGTTTTCAGCTGGGCCGAGGTGTTGAGGACCATTTCAATCGAGAGGTACATTCGCAGGGAGGGCAAGGACTTGAAGTGGGTGCTGGAAAAGTGTAAGCGAAGGTATTTTGTCATTAATAACTGCATATTCGGGGAGCATCCCCAGGTGGGACACTTGCTGGAGAGAGTGGAGAAGATGGTGGCAGAGGAGGGTGGCTACTACAGTCTGGAGGAGGTGGAGAAAGAGAAGAAACCTCTGGATGAGAACCAGAATCCAGCCAGGGAGGTGCGGGAGCTGGGGGCACGGCCCAAACAGAACTCGGGGCTGGCTTTGTCCAAAACCATGGAGGTGGAGCCGCTTTCCAGTGAGTGATGTGCTTATCTCTGCTCTCAAGAAAGTGAAGTCGCAGAATGTTTGTGTGTCTTGAAGGACCTTTCTGTTTATTAAAGATTAGAATTAAAGACCAAATTAAATTAATTTAAAGCTTGGATCAACATCCATAATCAATATTTTTATGTTAACAATGGATCACATGATTACTTGTATGTAAGGAGCTGCTAATAGTGATGAACATACCTGACTCTGCTCTACCAAATGCAAGTTAGTGGCTAGCTTTTGAACGTAGTAGATGAACAGCCAGATATAAACTGTGAACTTTTAAGTTGATATGATGAATGTGTCAGCAAACACTTGCTTATATACACACGGAGACAAAGTCCAATATTCACGCTCTTTTAGCTGTTCACCAGCCAATCGCTAACTGTGTCTGTCTGCTGTTTGTTGCCCAGCAGGTAGTGTACAGTGGGTTTAAGAGCTTTTGATAAAAATGATTGAACTAAAACAGTGAAGATTCAGCCCGTTAAACCAAATCAATGAGCTGAAAGCACTAAAACGCTCTGCAGAGCTGAGGGGAATTGCAGAGACCAGTGATAATGAGCACCCCTTTCATATCCCACGTAGTCATTTAATTTCTTTGTTATCAATATATTGATAATAGCAGCTTTATGTCCTGGAGCCTTTCAAAGCAGGTATGTGTGAAACTTAGATTGCAGCAGCGATTAAGCAACATGTTTCTCAACACACTTGTCTGCTCTGATTTGAGTAGAGCTGCACGATTTGGAGAAAAAGTCTTATTGCGATTATTGTGGACAATATTGCGATTTGCGAATGCAATTTGTGACATTTTGAAATGTGTATTTCTCAACTTGAACAAAGTTAAACGATAAACAGTATTTATAACAATAACTAGTAAAACAAAAGTAAAAGAGAACAAGGGGAGCGTGTTGCTCTATGGAGGAGGCGGCTAAATCTACATCTGTCCACTGCAGAGACTCTATCCACAACCTGGAGGAGGAACTAGTATACATGAGTGCATCAGTTTAATATTATAACATAAGTACACATAATGTTTATTTATGTTATAATATTAAAAAATAATAATAAAGAGTATAATGTTCAGTTAAAAGTATGCTGTTAGTAGCCTGTAACAATAATATATTATATTCATCATAATTTCATCTAATAGTTTACTGTTTAACCACTAAATCCAATTACAGCTGTTTAATTTCTGTAGGTTGTTTTTATTTATTTAATCCTTGTGCAAGAAAATTATATTGGTCTCTACTTTGTTAATTCTACGTACTAACTTGTCAATAATCATATTGTATAACATTTTAAAGTTTGCTGTAGCACGTTAAACTTTTTTTTAATGTCCCGCCCCATCCAGGCTGTGATTGGTCGGTTGATGAAAAGTGACTGACAAGCACGTCAGCTCTGTGAAAAGTTGAACGTGTTGAATAACAAAAGGCACCAATAAAGAGAACGTTTAATGGTCAGCTAGCTAAACACAAACCTTCCTTCTCTTCTCCCTGTTTTCTTCTATCTTACCGCTTCAACTGCTGACAACGTCTCTCTGTGCGATTGCGATTAGAATAATCGTGCAGCCCTAGATTTGACACTTTCCTCCTCTGTCCTCATAACAACCCATGACAGACAAACATAGACACTAAACAAGCCATTGTTCCTCTTTAACACCACTATGATAATATAGTAATACCACAGTAGTTTAGCTAAGTGCGTGTGAATTAAGTTCGCCTTTATGTGAAATGGAGCCCTCTTAATAATGCACTGTGTGTTTGATTCTAGATTAACAAGACTCTCATGGCTGATGGACCCACTAAACCACGACGAACTGAGCCTCCGCCTTAATGTACCGATGGCAACGGTGCTTATTTGACAAGAAAGAAAAAGGGGTTTAATGCCAGAAATGTTGCTGAACACAAAGCAGTTATGGCTTATTTTATTTATTTTTTAATCAGACATTACTGTGTGTTTTAGTTTTGTGCATTCTTTATGATTCTCAACTTTTTTCGCGCTGTCCAAAGATTTATATCCCCAGTTTAACACATGATGATGTTTTGAATATTTGTTCATAGGTTTGTTATAGTGTCTTGAAGGCTGTATGATGGGAAGGATTGGATTTAATTTAATCTAAAAACAAGGAAGCACATGCCGTTTCACAGGTAACAGGCCAGCATTTAGAAACCCAACCCGTGCCCTACTTAGTCATGGCGGATAGCAATGGCACAACTGCACTACTAAATTGTTACTATGATATTATATCTATCTCTTGAGGGAATTGATTCCCATTTTTTGTGACCAAACTATAAATGCTTTTCTTATGCTACAATGTTTATTACACTCTCAGCATATGGTTTAAAGCACTTGAGCGGTTATTGATTTTTGTCTGTTGCCTTAAAGGAGTGATTTCATTTCCCTTAAATGGACCTTTCAGATGTTTATCACTTTGTGGCAGAGGGATATATTTG